CCTGTCCATGAATACCACAAACAGGATCGGTGACAAGGAACAACCCTGGCGGAGGCCAACACCCACCAAGAACGTGTTTGACTTTACACCGAGTATGTGGATGCGGCTCTCAGTTTGGTCATATAGGGACTGGATGGCTGGTAGCAGCGACCCAGGTACCCCATAATCCTACATTCATTGGAAAGCCAGTTGTAAAAAATGATACCAATGATTATTTCAAGTCTTTGTACTCAAAAACAAACAAACAAACAAAAAACAGTTGCAGAGACAAAGATGAAAAAATTTTGTTTGATATTTGAATTAAGACAAAGAACAGTCAGTCAAGGCTAACGCTAACATAGCTAGTGAGCTAATGCTCAGCCGATTTTGGTTTTAGCTGATGATTTTCATCAAGGCAACAAAGCATGACTTCATGTTTGTACATAAACAGAACAACACAGAACACATTTTCAAAAATACTTGTGGTGATCCAAGTTAAAAGAAATCTCTCAGGTTATCGCACAGAGCCGTCTCCCCTCAGGTCCTGACACCCCTCAGCCAAGCGCAAGCAGCTGTGGTGGGTTCGAGTGTAAAAGAGATTAGGGAAATTAAATTAAGTGCAGCAAAAGTGCCATTCCTCTGGGATGGAGCAGGCTAATGAAGCGGGAGGCAGCTCTCTGGCTGGAGCTTTAATTTTGTCAAGCCTGGTTCAGTCCGCAGTCCTGCTCCAAACAGATTGGATTAAAAGATCCCATGGATGTGAGTCATGTTCTGTTCGGATGAGAACAAACAGTTTCTACATCAACCAGTGGCCGTGACGAATGGATTAAAGAAAAGTGTTTATCACTTGCACAATGATGGATGAGTCTGAACTGTGTTCTTTCTCTTCTGCCTCATGAACGAAAATGAGCTGCAGCTCAGGCCAAAGCCTCAAACCAGATTCAGTCCTTTGATCTGAGTATTTTAAAGGGATGGTTTGTTTTTTTTTCCAGTGTGGCGTTATATAAGGTACTCATACATAGTGTAAACAGTAGATGTCAGCTGGCACGCCCCTAGTTTTGAGAAGCAGGTTGGAGTACTGATAATATTCTAAATATAGTGAACACTGATATTGATTTTTGAGGTGGCTATAGTACATTTTGCTGCTGCCCCCATCAACAGCAGTGCATTGCTTAGCTTTTGTTCTATCCCTGCCTGCCTCTCCAAACTGGAGGCGTGCCAGTTGCCATCTCCTGTAGGCAATACACTGACTATGGATAAAGACCTCATGTAACCCCACTTCAAAAAATCCAAACTGTCCTTTCAAGTAAAACATATGGCACTTTAGTTCCTGTTTCTATTTTGTTGATTGATAGAGGGTTGGGAGAAGCCATTGTTTGTGCCTCTTTAATGGAGGGTCTTCCTTTTCCTTCCTTCCAATATGAGAGGGGCTCCTAAAGCGGATGGACTCCATTCGTGGCCCAATCATTTTCTCTTTAACACACTTCCACAGTGACCTTCAGCTCTGCACTGACCAAGCCAAGGTCAATGGTCAGAGTTCAAGCTAGGTACACATTAGCATGCAGGTGGAGGCTCCCACAGTGCATTATGTTTTTAGGGACGTGTGACTGCTAATCTGAGTTGTGATAGGCCAAACGCACGTGCTTAGGACATGACCTCAACGTCCATTCAGCAGTATTGTGTGTGTGTTCCTCATAATCAGTGTGTGTTCTGTTCAGAGGATAATGGCTGACATCTTCTCCTGAAGAGTGCATGACCTCAGGAGGGGTAATAATATTGATTAGGGGTTCAAAGTGCACAGGGAGCATGGTGTAATATGCATATGCATTGTTAAATTTCATGTCAGTAGAATACACTTTTAAATTAGATTGTGTGTTTTATGCTCATAGTACATTCACTGTGCATGCACAGAGAAATCAGACATGGACATGTTTTTATCCTGTCTTTGTTAGTAAGTACCTTCTAACGTCGTGACCCCAGGGTTTCATATTCCCTCTGCAAGTCTCCAACCACAGTGTGGTAAGTGGCATCTATTGATTTACTCGTCTTTATTGTTATATCGCTAATGAGAGGTTCCAGAGTGAGTTGTAAATCATAACGCTCTAATGCAGCATAATTGCTAATAGATATATAAATGCTTATTTCAGACCTCATAAACACATTAAAAAAATTCGTTATAGAGCTTGTTTCAGTTGAAAGTGTGACTCTCATCTCTCTAGCCTCTCTTACCAGGATATATCTGGACGTACAGTAGATCCAACCTGCATCTGATGCCATCAGGTTCCAGCTGCCCTCTATCATATGTTCTGATCATTCTCTGGTGTTGGCAAAATTTTGGTCTTACATTTCTGAAACGTTTTCATGCCCCTGCAGTGGTGATAGCAGTGGCTGGCGGTATTATGTTTTCAAGTTATCCGTCTGTACATCTCTTTGTCCCCCTTTCATGAATGCAATATCTCCTGAATGCCTTGAGAGACTTTCCTCAAATTTGGCACAAACATCCACTTACACTCAAAGCTGAACTGATTAGAGTTTGGTGGTCAAAGGTCAATGGGCAAGGTCACTGTAACCTTGCGTCTGTGTCATTCTCATGAACACCATATCTCAAGAACAACTGGAGGGAATTTCCACAAATTTGGCACAAACATCCACTTGGACTCAAGGATTTTGGTGGTTAAAGGTCACTGTGACCTCATAAAAAATGTTTTTGGCCATAATTCAAGAACCCATACGAATTTATACGAACAAGAATTCATAATTATGACAAAATTTCACACAAAAGAGGATAAAATGATGACGTTGTGACATTTTATATCCAAAAGGTCAAAGGCCATCTCCACTGTGACATCATAATATTCTACAAAAACACTTTTCTGATTATTATTCACTGTCAGCATACTTCAGGAACAGAAGGGAAGACATTTGGTCAGATACTGATTTGGTGACACTAATCTTGGGTGTCAACCTTGAAACTGTGCTGCAGTGCAAAGAAGCACCCATTGTTTAGAATTCATAGCTTCTTTGCAGCAACATCCATATTTGGTAAATGGTAAATGGACTTGTATAGTGCCTTTCTAGTCTTCTGACCACTCAAAGTACTTTTACACCACTGAGTCTACACATTCACACACTGGTGGCCGAGCTACCATACAAGGTGCCACTTGTTGCTTGCTACTTGTACTTACTGCTACTCAGTAACTATTAACACGCTCTCACACACCGATGAAGCATAGCTGACTGTCATAGCTACATATGAGTCTGGACAGACATGGATAAACTGCAACTACAACTTGACTGGTTTGCAGAGGCATGCAACCATGAGGCAGTATTCTAGTTTCATTTTATTAGGCCTATTATTGTTTTTATTGTTTTATGGACATCATTATTGTTCTTGTCCATTGTGTGCAGTGCATGTTTTTGCATCTGGAAAGCCACTACTAGTTTCTGAAATAATAATAGAACTGCAGCTGCAGTTTCCTCCACGCAGTGGTAACAGCTGACAATGATTTCGACATTGGCGTTTTGATACTGAAAATAGTTAATGTGTCTGTCTACCACATTGTTTTGTACCAAAATGAGTGGGTGGAGAGGACGGGCTGTGGTTTTGTTGGCATTAGCAACAAGGAGTGGATAAAAGCACATCAAATTACAACAACAAAACACAGTGCTCACAGTATGTTTTTACAGCTAATCCAAAATGGAATTAGCGTTTCGTGTTTGTGCTTCGTGAGTACCACAAGTGATGATTGAGAAAATTACACAACAACAAATTAATGGACAGAACAAGGACAATGTGGGGTTGGGCAGATTTGGCTAAGAGCACACTACATTTACTGAGTCATCAGTTTCATATTCTGCCCTGAATACCAGATGTTACTATGTGGTGCTGCAAGAAACCACAGACCAGCATGATGTCGACTCATTGTTGTCTGTCTGGATGATCTCATTAGTTTTTTATCAAAAACATTTTTTTTGTCTCAGTCAGCACAGAGAACCCAGTGTGCTTTGCACTGAGTAGTAAACAGTTTTCAATGGAAAATTAAGCAATAGCATGAGCCACAAACTGCTCTTCCATATAAAGACTGTATCATTACTCCTTGGAAAAGAACAAGACTTGACACAGTGCTGTGCTAATGAAATATGGCCATAGTGATCTGTGCATACTAGGAGACCTTCTGTGCATGTCTCACTGCAATACATGATCTGTACATGTGAGCTCTTGTTGAACTGTATGTCTCCCTTTAACAGCTCAAACCTCTGACCTACTTTGGGGCTGATTTCTAAGAAAATAGAACAGTGTGCCACAGAACTGTGCAGCTTAAAATGTGGGCTTGTTTGTCCAGGGGCAACTACTTTTTTAAAGAATTCTGACATGTGGCATGTGCACATGTTTTTGCAACGTGATCAAAGTCAAGACAGGGACAGAAACCCTATCTGCACCCCCACCTCCCAGCCTAGCCCATATGTGCTCTGTCTATACTGTAGAGCATGCAGGCAGTCTTACACGGTCTGTGGTTTCTACTATATCTGACTGTGTGTACTCTTAAAACACAGCTTTCTACCAACACTCGCATTACTCTGGATAAGTATCCTAGATGTTTGCATGCATATTTGTTATCTCTGAGAACTTTGGGAACTTTTAAGTTGAAGTTTTATGTGTTTGAGGGTTTAAAGACTGTGACAATTCTTGCATCATAAAGGAAAATGTATTTATAGCCTGCTGGTTGTGACATTAACTCAAGAACTGCACAGCAAACATTTTTGTAGAGTGAATACATCTATGCAGTACAGTGTAACTACACAAAAGATATCTTAAAGCTGCTGGGTCTGTGCATTAGTCTCCGAGGAAAAGTCAGCATTTCCTGCGAGGGCTACAGCTGTACATTCCTCAGCCACGTGATGTCGGAGCATGAGTCAAGGTATGCAATCGAGCATTCAACTGCAAATATAAATATATAGGAGACTTGTTCAAACTCATATGTGAGTTGAGCGTGAGCCAGGGAAAAATAATCACATTTCACTTCACGAGATTTCAGTGTTTTATTAGAGGACATTTTAAAAATATGCACACTATACAGTTGCTTCTGAGAGCCTTTTACAACAAAGGTATAAGATATTATGTATTTAAAAAAGAGACGTCATCCCTTTGTGTGATGTTTTAACAACACCATCTGCTTCTGGAGTTTGTATACAGTATTTAAAATACATTTTTTCTGCCTTTACAGTCATAAAATGTCAAGTCAGAAGGTTAAAAGATCATTATTCTGTGAGGCTGTGACCTTTAAACTGTTAGATACATGAAATTTCATCACTGTTTTCCTTGAAACCAAGTCAGGTATTCCTCTTTCAAGCACTGAATACCTTCAAACATGTGTTAGAAGATTTCATTTCCCTTCACCCAGAATAAAAAACATTAACATTTTTTTTAAAGTGGAGCACCTTATGTAGACTTATGAGGCTCCCACCAGCAGGGACGTTTGGTCTAGGGGTTTGATCCCTCCACGGTCATGGAAAATGTTCAGAAGCGCCGCCTCAATAGAGAAGAGGTGCTCGTCCTCTACCTCGGGACAACACAGCCTCATGAACTCTGCCAGGCGGACCAGGTATTCAATATTGTGACCCGTGTTCCCTCTACAGATGGCAATCTGGGCGGCGATCTCTTTGTCCGAGGCTGGGCCGAGATAGGTGGGGTTATCGGAAGTGGCTATGTAGACGAGGGCCAACATGGCACCCTGACCCTTCTCCTTAGGGATGAACTCCACCATCTCTGTTGTGTAACCCCCCAACACAACCTCCCTCATGTTGAGGTACTGAAGGGATTCCTCGATCTGGGAGTCACTCACTTCATAGGCCACTCCCCACGTGCAAGCCTGCGGAGAAAACAAGAGGAGGAGGAATGGTAATGGTGGAACAAACACAGTGTGTGATGACCTGATTTGACACCTAGGAGGAGTTTGATCCTAAGTTAGTGAACATTCACAGCTTGGAAAGTACCAAGGGACACAAACCCCTGATATTCACATATGCTCTAAATGTCATCATAACCATAAAGACAGTTAAAAAAAGCCATTATTAATACTACCAGTTCTATATTAAGCTGCACTGTAGTTGTGTGTGGTTTGGCGGTAAGTGGTGTTGCCACACCCAAGCAGAACATGGCTCACAGGGTGTATTCAACTAACATTAACATTAACATTAACAGCTTTACTTCTTTATATTTGATAGAAAACCCATGTGACGTCTGAGTTAAGTGTTAATCGTTGCTAAGGGGTCCCCCTAGCAGATTTGCTCCCTGTCAACGTTGACTCCATGGCTACGCCCTTGCTTGATATAAGTGTTTATAAGGTCCTTTGAGGAAAGGTTAAGGTCCACAGCATCACTGGGTGTCATATACAACCATATGAATACTGTATACACCATAAGGTGGGCTCTTTCTGTGGGTGTTGTTGAAAATTGCACAAACTTGTTCCTAGGAAGTGTTGCTCAAGTTCACTAATAGTGACTGGGTTAAAATTACATTTCCCACTGCTGCTTTTTTTCTGTCATAGAAGAGTAATGCTAGGAGTGTAGAGAGCAGATTCACTATTACACGCTGCATAGAGGATCAAAATAGACTGGGAGCTTCCCGATGAAGGGCACTTACCTCCTGATCCTCCACAAGTGTGGCCACTCTGCCTGGCTGTGGGAGCAAGGACATAGACAATGAGGACATGACTACTCAGCACAACATAAACAGAGCAATTAATTGATAAATAATTACAACTATCAGAAAATATCTGAATTAATCAGAGAAATACAATGTAATAATAAATGAATGTGTCAGAGGACATCTCACCCTTTCCTTGTCTCCTCTATAAAAATCATCTCCATGCCAGAAGCGCCTCTTGTATCCTCTGATGAAGCCAACTTTGCTCCTCTTGTATGCAAAGTCAGGCTTCCACACCAAGGAGCCATATCCAAATATCCACAGGTGGTTTCTTTCTCTGATAATGTCCTGAGGTTTCATTGCGATCGCTAGGCTGTGTTTAAAAAACAAGGCAAGTGTGTTGGTGTGCCTGTCAAAAAGTGGCTACTCTCAGATCCGTCCTTTGCTGTGTCTGTCCTGTTATACATTCCAATGCGTCCCAGAGTCGCTAATATATACAGCTGAGAGCGAAAGTAATCGCCCAGAAATGCAGTCATACAGAAAGCGCCGAGTTTATGACCATGTCATCAAAAAAAAACACACCGTCCGTTTCTCCTCTGTATCCCACTGATGTACAACAACACGTGTGTTTGTTGTTCAGGACACATCAGAGCGAGAGGGTGTCGACCAATGGGATCACAGGAGGGGCGGGCTCAGATGACAGATAAACCAATCAGGAGGAGTTAGAACACTGACATGAATAAAAACAGCAGGGTCCAGGAAACTCCTGTCAAAAAAAATGTATGAATGCATTGAATGTGGCTTCACTACATTTCTCTTTCTTTCCTTCTTGATTTATTTCTGTCACAAAACTGTCCCTTCACACGCACAGGTCATATGACAGCAGAGCCATTACAGTCTACAGTCTATTTTTGATTCATTAATAATTATAGTTGTCACTTCAGTTTTGATTTTACTCAGTTTACTGGCTGTGTTTGTCCCTTTCAGTTCTGTTATGATTGTTTTCAAGTGTTCACTTTCACTGTTAGTGTTTTGTTTGTCCAATAATCTTGTAACTTGGAAGAGTTAGCGAGATTAAATTAGCTCAGAATAAGAATTACAATACAAACACTTTGACTCACAGTCACGTACATGCCGGTCTCAACAGATATATGCACTAAAGCCTCTTTATGCTTGTTGTGTTGACAAATTTGACAAAAACTAAAGACATGTTCTGTATATTTCTATTTTATTTTTGGTTATTTTTGTGAATACACAATATCATTTCAGTTTTTTTCCAAAGACTATTGTTTTTTTTTGTTTTTTTATTTCAGTTAAACAAAAAAAATACACCTAGTCTGGGTTTTTTAATTTAGTTTAGTTTAATTTAATTTAATCTAGTTTAGTTTAGTTTACTAGAATAACCTTGCATGACAGTAATTTGAATTTTTCTTTTTTTCATATAGGACTGTATTGTTCCTACCGTTTTCCTCCACCATTCTCTTTTCATTAAATGGGGAAACACCTCTCATACCCTTGAGTGTCAAACTGTCAGAAATAGTTCAGCAGGTAATCACATTACCTATAAATAACTGGGACTGTTATATCTGTGCTCTCTTAAGCTCATTACGTGTCTGTGTTCTGCACAGGTCTGTCTAGCACACTATTGTGCCAGGGGCACATGCTGATCCCTTATGACTGACTGCTTGATAACATTTCCTGTAGCTGCCCCTCAGTTACTATAAATGATATTTGATGAGCTAAGTTGAAACAGAAACTCTTTTCTTCCAGCTCCACATAAAGCTCACTGCCCCCAAGTGGTGCTGAAAGACACTGCTCCACTGTAGAGACTGCAGGAGTTCAGGTGAAGAAAATGCAACATTTTCAAAGTAAAAGTGTCATTTGCTGGTTTGTTGTGGTCCTCTGCCTCGTGGGGGGCCTGTCAGCGGCTGTTTGCTGTGCTCAGTAGTGAAAGGGCATGTGCAGACTTTTATCAGTGACACAAGCGCAAAAACATGCTGAGTTTTGTTATGTTCCTCACACCCTACTCCCCCTCCCACTTTCACCTCACAGCCAGAAGAGAGAGCTTATTATCAGAGATCATATCTAGCAGAGGTGGGGACTCGAGCCACATGGCTTGTACTTGGTTCAGACTTGAGTCACAAATGTACTGACTTTGGAATTGCACTTGCAAAATAAAAAATACTTGCAGCTTGTCTTGGACTCTAACACCCAATACTTGATACCTTCCCCCCAAAGATTAAAATGTATGTTATTTAAAAAGTGTGGCACCAGTCAATCCATTTATGTTCATTTCCTGAATCAAATAACGGTAACACTACTCATTTCTACACACTTAATTACCTGGGTCCACTTTGTCTGAACCAATCCGCCATCATCCATTCAAGCTGCAAGAGAGAACAATGAAGAACTAACAATACCAAAGATAATTTTGTTTGTGTACCAAAATTAAAAGTAACAGTAGTCAATGAAAAAAATAGTTTGAGTCACTGGATGTAGTCTGTGGCTAAAAGTCTACCACTGGGCGCTGATTTCAACCTGCATTGGACTGCACTTGTATAGCGCCTTTCTAGTCTTCCGACCCCTCAAATGCGTTTTACACTACAAGTCACATTCACCCATTCACACACACACTTTCATACACTAGTGGCCGAGGCTACCATACAAGGTGCCACCTGCTACTCAGTTTTTAACACATTCACACACCAATGGAACAGCCATCGGGATCAATTTGGGGTTCACCATCTTGCTCAAGGATACTTCGACACGCAAACTGGGGGAGCATGGGATCGAATCGTCGATCTTCCGATTAGTGGATGACCTGCTCTGCCTCCTGAGACACAATTGCCTACTTCTGCGTGCTACTGTTTCCAAATGCAATTTGCTACAGGAAACAACATTGTGCAACAAGGCCTGCCTGCTTTGTTCTTTTGGTGAATTCTTTTAAAGATCTGCAACGAATAAAAGAACTTGGAAAAGCCAAGGATCTGTCTCGAAGGACTCTTGTGTCCGATGTTGATCTGTTTTGTGATGTGGCCTCTGGGTACTCCGGCTTCCTCCCACAGTCCAAAGACATGCAGGTTAATTGGTGACTCTAAATTGCCCATAGGTGTGAATGTGAGCGTGAGTGGTTGCCTGTCTCTATGTGTCAGCCCTGTGATAGTATGACGATCTGTCCAAGGTGTACCCTGCCTCTTGCCCAATGTCAGGACCCCTAACAGGATAAGCTGTTACAAATAAATGAATGAACTATCTTGCAAGAGCACCATTGCTGCATCCTGGCCTTAGTGCCGCCTAAGATGATTGTGGTTGGTTCACAGAAACATAAACAAACCAGAGCTTTTTTTTCCCATAGCAGAAAAATAATCAGTGATTCTGGACCTTTCTCTAGCGCTGACACAGATCTAGTTACGCAAGATTAATAAAAAACAAGCATGGGGGTTGAAAATAACAGATGTGGACGCAACAACTTCCAACAAACAACACATTTTAAAAAGTATTCATGATATTTGTATGTTTAATATATTATTACTCTGCTGTTATTGGCGTTACATGTGGTGAAGAGTGCATGATGAGTTCAGGGCTCAAAACTCAAGTTTAGGACTCAATTTGGGACTTGAGTGCAAAGACTTACATGTAACTTGGTCCCTCTGATATCTAGTCTCTAGTTCTTCATACAAATACAGTAGCAGTTCAGAGAAGCAGTTACGTGCTGTAGAAAGACCACAAGGATTCTTTATTTTCACATACAGATGTTGTTTTAAATATATATCTTTTTGTTTGACTATTTCTTTACACTGCTGCCAATTACAACACTGTCCACTGAATGATTGCTAGCACATTGATTTCACATCACACTGACACAGACGTCATGGACATAGACACGGAATCATCAGAAATGCTACCAGGCCAAATATTACTGTATCTAATAGACAATGAAGCCACTTCCACACCAGTTGACACAAATAAAAGTTTCTAGATGATTCCAACATTTAAATTAGGAGCTCTATTTGGACCACGAGTACACTCGACCATTGCGGACCGACAAACAAACAGTGTACCAGATATGTGTTCATTGTTTCTTTTTATAACAAAAAATAATAAAACACCAACGACACTTTAAAAATAAATTCACCTTTTCTGGGCATCGACTTGAAAACATACTTCTAATCTCGACATATAAATATACAGTATATACAAAATAATCTTATAAAACACAGAGAGACAAAGATCAGTGCTTCATATTCTTAAATTACTAATGAATTACTAATCTTTCAAAATAACATTATTGGTTCAGTCATTTGCTTCGAAGGCGTCCTTGGTACGATAGTCACTTCATGTATTTCTTTGTCTTCATTTAAGGGTGATCTTGCATAAGGTAAAACAAGGCCTTATCGTTAGTTTCCCTGCATGGCGCTATAGCATATTGCATCTTTTGATCTTTTATGTTCATTTTGTTGTGCAAAGGACTCAAGATAAGGCGGGGCACAATGCTATTAAACACATATATAAGGCTTTGTGATCTAGGCTGCATACATTCTTTATAAAAAAAAGGATTTACAAAACGGATAACCCTAAATATCCTTCAAAAATGAACCGTTTTCAGTAGTTTTTTGACCCTTTCTGATTAAGCACAATGCTGGTTTTTGTTTGCATAGCGCATTGCAGGCCACAAAAAAAGGCTGGCTCCTTCCACAGGCTTGTTAGCAGTACGTTGATTTGCTGATTGCTGATTACTGCAATAAGGTGGAGAGGAGCGCGTCGAGATAGTCCTCTTCTTCTAATCAACAGGCAGGCATAAACATGTTGGCCTGTCGCCCTTGCAGGAACTTGGACGGAGCAGACGAGGGTTTGAATCGGAAACATTGAAGCTGCTTCCACAAGTCAGATTTGCTCATTATTTAAAGTCTTTTTTTCAGTCTTTACATTCTCACATAGATTAGTAGCTTCTGTTTGATTGAATTCAAAGAGCACACCGGCTCCATCCAGTTATCAAGTTTTCAAGAGCAGCAGCTTGCATTTAAATAAATCCCAGTCTCTCCACACTTGTAAACAAGTCCACAAGAAATCCAATGTTGACAGTGAATAATGTCCTCCACTTATTATACCTGAAAGAGAAGAGAAGAACAGCTCAATGACTACTACAGCAACATCTGAAATAACAGACAAGAAAATAATATTTCTGGTGAGTGGGATATATTGGCAGAAATTAATCGGGATCGCCATGCTGCATTGGCATGTTTCAACAGTAGCCCAGAACAGACAAACCACACACTGCTTCTAGATAAAGTTATTTGTGTTTTCGCGTTTTTGCGTCTGCCACTGTTGTTAATAGCCCCGCCGCGATGACGAACAGCATAGGAAAAACACTGATTTTTATTGTGAAACTGCTTTATTCAGTGTTTTACCAGTTTAAATCACCGGGTCTGTTTGTTTTGGAGAGACAGAGACCTCTGCAGAAAATTTGGCTGCTGGTAAAAACCTCCTGAACATCTAGATCTTAAGTTATAAGAGGAAAAAGGTGAGCACATGTTAGCAGGTGCTATGTTAGCGGCCCATCTGTGACAAGCCAAACAGTGTCGGAGAAACACTGATGTTGTGAC